CCATAAAGTCTCGAGATATGTTTTTTCAAAGTTGAACTTGCATTAATTTTACATGGCTTTCTAAACATGCGGCTCATTTGTGCGAGATGCGAGTGCAACGGTGATAGATGTCCCTCTAGAAAATGTGCGAAATATGCGTTGTGTGAACGGCTTGGTTTCAGTTTTGACGTAAACCACATCTTCTCCGCATTGATGTTCTCTTTTGCCGCAATATTTGTAATTGTTGCAACCCCAAAACGGTCACTACAAATAAGGAGAAGACGAGTGCATTTGCGTTGAAAAACATTTACATTTATTTAACCGTCAGACATAAATGGATCATTATTGTACCCGTCTTGGTCCAGAAAGACAGGGCACAAATCCGTCGAGCAAAGAGATGTTTTTTTAGAGGATCAACCACCTGCACGCCGGTGTTCCCAAACACGCAGCAATCAGCCGGACACCTGCAAAGACACAGACCCAAACAAGAAATGACCAAAAGTGTCGTCACACCCTCCCCCTTAAAATAAAAACCCGAAAAGTTACTACCAGGCTAGAATACATGTAGAATATATACAATCATATCCTCAACATTATTCTAACACTGTATCAGAACACATCACCTTAGCCACAGCACCATCACTTCTCAGCAACCCGGTCCCTAGGAGGAGAGACAAATGACAGGCACAACAATAAAGCATAAAAAGATCAAATCAACTTTAAGACACAGGTGCGCGAGACAAGGCATCCGCCAAAATATTTTCCGTCCCCTTAATATGGCGGATCTCCAAATTATAAGGTTGTAAAAATAACGACCAGCGCATCAACCGTTGGTTAGGATTCTGAAGGGTTGTCAAATACGTTAGGGGGTTATGATCACAATAGATCACAACAGGCGTTCCACCCCCTCCCACATAAACGTCAAAATGCTGAAGTGCCCAAACCAGCGCCAAGGCTTCTTTTTCAATAACCGAATAGTTCGACTGATAAGACAGAAATTTCCTCGAAAAGAAACATACCGGACGTTCAATTCCCTCATCGTCATCCTGTAAAAGAACAGCTCCCGCCCCTATCTCGCTAGCATCTACCTGCATTTTAAACGGTCTATCCCACTGAGGAGCAGCAAGGACTGGAGCACTAGTAAGCAACACTTTAACATTATCAAAGGCATCTTGACAAGTCAATCTCCAAATGAATGTACGTGACGCTTTTAACACGGACTTTAATGTAATTGATCACAACGCGAACGCAGCAGGATACCGCGTAACCTGACACATAATAGTCAGCAAATGCCAGATCTAGAACGGGGCAAGGGACCAACACAATCCACAATTAAGTGATTAAACGGTTCATTCACAACAGAAATCGGTCGCAATGGAATGGGCTTCGGATTCTGATTTGGCTTTCCAGACAGCTGGCAAGTGTGACAGATCTCAATATATTTAGAGACATCGCGTTTTAAGCAAGGCCAAAAGAAATTGCGCATTATGTGATCATAAGTCTTTTTCACTCCAAGATGCCCCGATACATCATCATGAGCGAGTCTTAGCACCATAGAACGCAAAGATATCGGAACTACTACTTGAACGACTGGTTCCCTCAAGAAAGCCTTAGCCTGAGGAGTCCATTTCCTTATCAGAACCCCTTCACAAATGAAATACCCCTGAGCGGCACTGCCATCAGACATTACCTGTGAAAATAATGCATTCAGGGTGGAATCTGCCTTTTGTTCCTTAATCAACTCACCCTGTGACACGGAGAGAAGAGAACCAGGCCATGAAATACCTCCACCCATCGGAGAGGATTCCACACATTTAGTAGTTGCAGCTGATCGACTGGCAGCGCGCGTAACCACACATGCTGGAAAAACATCAGGTAGAATCTGCACACTCTCATCAATCTCTTCAGCGGACATAGGTTTAGATGAAACAATTAAAGGTGACGGCAACTCACTCCAAACCCATCCCCCAGCCAGATTGTTTCCCAAAATAACAGAAACTCCTTCTACTGGAAGAGCTGGTCTCACTCCCAATTCAACTTCTCGAATTAAATCGGAATACAACAGAACCCTATGCAATGGCACAGATATTTTAGTTAATCCAATTCCACAGATTAACAGCGAATCCCCAGTAAAAGTTTCATTTGAAAACGGTAATACAGACTCCAAAATGAATGAGGCAGATGCGCCAGTGTCCCGAAGAATTTTCACTGGAACTCTTTCACGCTTCGGGAGAGACACAAAACCATCAGAGACAAAAGGTGAAAATTTGGAATTCAAACAGGCTGTTTCGGTAATTTCTCTACCACTCACCGTAAAACAAGAGGGAATCAAGCCACCAGCTATGGGAACCGAAGCAGCCAACACTGTAGGCTTTGCCAATGTATAACGGTTTTGACCTTTTGCTTGAAGTACTGGACAATCTTTTTTGCAGTGCCCGTGACCTAAACAATAATTACAGATTAAAGCCGAATCAGCTTTATTAGAAAACGTGTAACGTGTGGCAGTCGACATATTGGAAGGTTGCATAAAACAAGATGGACCCTTTTCACTGCATTCATCTTTCAAGCGGCTAGCATCAACACACGATTTATGTATCAAATCATATTCATCCGCTAAAGCTGCTGCTTCCACTGCAGTAGATACATTACACTCAGCAATATAAATAGCGGTTTGATTTGGCAACGTGTTCTTAAACTGCTCCAAAACAATTAAATCAACAATATCTTTATATGATTCGACAGCCGCGGCACTACACCAACGCGTAAAAAACAACTCCAATTCACGTGCCAATTCTGTATGCGTTTGAGTAGAAAGTTTTCTCAATCCACGAAATTTTTGGCGATACGCCTCTGGCACCAATTCATATGCCTTAAGAACCGCACTTTTAACTTTATCATAATTTTGACTATCAGCCCATCTTAAAACAGAATAAGCTTTCTGCGCCTTGCCAGTCAGAACTCATTGTAACATTAAGGAGCGTTCAGCTTCGGGCCAATTTTGTTTGTCTGCAACTCGTTCGAATAATACGAAAAAGGTAATCAAAGGCATCAACTGCAAATTCGCTGCCACATTAAAGTTAGCAGAAAGCGGCCCACTCTCTGCCCCCTCATACAAGTCGCCGTCACTCATCACAGTTTTTACCTTTCCTTCTTTCATAAGGTCCAAACGTTGTTGTTGTAGATATAATTTCCTATTTTCTAAGGCCTGCAGTGCCAACACAGTCTCCTGTTCTAATTTTCGTTTCTCAATTTCCATGTTGAACTCTAATTTACGATGTTCCAATTGAAGAAGTGCTAACTCTCTTTGTTGCTCAAAAGTCAAAGTTACCGAAGAAGGCACACTAGTCGGCAACCCTATCAATTCCGCCGCAGATGACATAATTCCTTTATTTATAAGAGTCACTTTTACAACAGTTCGAATAGTTTCTTTCAATTGTTTATCATTCGTAGAAAGGACAATATCATAATGTGTTGCAATTTCAATCAATTGATCTTTCGTTAACAGATTTAAAACTTGCTCAGACGGATTTTCAAAAAATTCACTTATTTCGATTGATGTTATATTTAATAATTCAGCAATTTCAATCAATGATTCTATACAAAACTCTTTAAAACTCAAATCCTTACCTTAACAGCTGTCAAAACACGAAAAGGAAAAAAAAAAAGGAAGAGAGAGAGAGAAAAAGAAGTTTCACAGCTTGACGTGTGGTGTGTGACAGATCGCGGGATACGTGAACCAGCCCATGGTGGACGTGTCCATTCTGCAGCGCTCACTGGCCATCCTGGAGAGCATGGTGCTGAACAGCCACAGCCTGTACCAGCGGGTGGCGCAGGAGACCCCTGTGGCACAGCTCATCGCACACCTGCAAGTGTGAGCACATACACGCACACACACACGTGCACACTCGCCGCAGCGCAGGTCACGTGCCTCTCTCCTGCACGCACACACACACACACACACACACTTACGTACTGACAGGAGGACAGGGCCGCGTCTGTGACTGGACACCTAGAGTAAAACATCACAGGACTGTTAAAGGGATCATGAAATGCAGTTTCTCAATGTTAGTTTATATATCTAATATTGATAAATGACAATTTTCCATTCTCATTTTCACTCTGTGAAAAGGACTCCATTGCAGAAACGGAAGTAAACGGCCACTGCTGTGATTGGCTAACCTCGTCACACCGCATCCACGCTCTGTTTTATAGTGCGTCGTGTGTTTTGATACTTGAGATGGCAAGCACTGTGAGAGAGCCGTGCGTGTTTGAGCCAGAGACAAGAAAAACGTCTGCAGCAGTCTGTTTTAGCATTCTAATTGCTTAACTTTTAGCATATTGTTTTAAAAGTGCTTTTATTACTTCTCATGTGTTGGAATGTACTGATTTTATTAGCAGCACTCATACAGTGATACGCTTGGTGACTTAATAGTGTTAAATGTACTGCATGTCCTCTGAGGACAAAATGCATGGCACTGCCGTATCTTTCAATAAAAGATGTTTAAAAAGTGGCAGCATGTGTAATAATAATTCAGGAAACAGCGAGTTGTGAAGTTGCTCAGGAGTGTCATTAAAAATAAACTTCAGCCATGCATTTGTAATGCTAGGAAAGCCATGCAAAGATCTTGGAGGCGCAGTTTCTTTACATCCACTGACAGAACGTCTGCATTATATGTTCCCTGTTTGTGGTCTGAGGACTTTTGTTATCCTTACGAAAATCAACTCTGGATTTATTTTAGTAGCCATGTTTTTTTTGGCGTATTGATTACCATTTGTATAACCACAGTTCCACTACAAATACCATGGTTAAACTATGGTTAATGTAGCAAAGTCATGGTTAATTTTCAAAAGGGATGCTTCCTGTTTGCTGTTCTGTTTCAGTTTGTAGTCTTTCTTGTAATTTTGTTTATCAGGTGGGTCAGAGTTGGGTATAATGCGTTACACAGTAACGTTACTGTATTCTAATGACTTTTTCTGGTAACGCAGCAATGTAATGCGTTACATTTTACATTTATGTAACTTGATTACAGTTACTAAAGTCAAAAAATTATGTTACTTAAGTTACAAATGCAGTGTTAAAAAATAAGAAGTAAAAATCATGTTTTGCGCGTCAGTATACCCATTAATAAATCACCAGAGAATGCGAGCTAAAATGCAGATGAGTCCTACAACATTTAGATGCAATGAAAGGTTGCCCATTTTTCAGTTTTTCTTTTTTAATAAATTTGCAAAAATGTCAACAATTCTGTGTTTTTCTGTCAATATGGGGTGCTGTGTGTACATTAATGAGGAAAAAAAATTAACTTAAATGATTTTAGCAAATGGCTGCAATATAACAAAGAGTGAAAAATTTAAGGGGGTCTGAATACTTTCCGTACCCACTGTATACATAAACCTAACTAAGTAGACCCTAATCTTACAGCATGCAGTGGCGGGTTTTTATGCACCAAATACCATAAGCTGAGAAGAACAACCAATTAAATCGGTGATTCCCTCAAACCTCGGCGTGCTCCCGAGACTCAGCTCCAACCACCGATCTGCTCAAAAATAACAAACTAAAAAAAAAATTTGACATACCCCAAAAGGACATGCTGCTTAATCCTACCAGCGAATCCAATCCCAGGGCTTTCCAAAAATGAAAGACGAGTGCATTTGCGTTGAAAAACATTTACATTTATTTAACCGTCAGACCTAAATGGATCATTATTGAACCCGACTTGGTCCAGAAAGACAGGGCACAAAATACCGGAGATGTGATTGACGTGTGGTGTGTGACAGATCGCGGGATACGTGAACCAGCCCATGGTGGACGTGTCCATTCTGCAGCGCTCACTGGCCATCCTGGAGAGCATGGTGCTGAACAGCCACAGCCTGTGCCAGCGGGTGGCGCAGGAGACCCCTGTGG